TCTCTCTCTCTCTCTCTCTCTCTCGGTCTTCTTCTTCGTCGTGGTCTTCTCTGCAGGTGCACGGCGGCTCCTCCAACCTCCAGGTCCGCTATGGCAGACATCTTCTTCTGGCGGCCACCTCAGCTATGGCGCATCAGGCCCTGCACACGACGGCGCGCATGGAATAGCGGGTACCAGCTCCGATACCAATGCAATCAGACTTGCTCTCATTCACACTTTTCATGCATGTAAACAGTAGCGCAGCAAACTGGCAACATGCGCCCACTCAAAACTCAGAGATATGGCACCCAGATACGAGTTCACTTTCAATTGGCTATGGCGACTCAGCGCCCAAACAACTCACTGTTCACATACACCGGATTACCCTGGATATCCCACACGCGACTCTCAGACTCACACAACACACACACACACTACACACTAACTCTAGCTATGGCGGCTACGCCCTCCTCTCTCGCCCACTTCAGCTCCGGGCTCTCTGCAGACCTCCTTGCACAAGTCGCTGTGGCAGAGCTTCCGCATGGCTCACGCAGGAATGAATCAATGGCTAGGCGCTGCCTCTTGATTTATACTTCTGAAACTCGTTGGTCTGCCCTTTGCCATCGGCCCATGGTGCTCACAGTCCATTGTGGTACTTGCTGGACTCGACTGGGACTGACTGGACCTTACCGCTGACTGACTGGGGACTCACTGCTAACCTACCGGAGAAGTACTGCAATTGCACTGCAGTTTAGTCCACCACTTGACTCACCACTTGCCCACTTGCCCACTTGCKGACCTTCTAGAAGGACTCCAGCTAAGACTTCTGGAACTCGCTAAGACTTCTATTCTACAGATCTACAGATCGAACCCCTGCTACCTACAGGACCTATGACAGCCTACCAACTGTTTACGAATACACAGGTCACAGGTTCAACTCTCGGGGTTTACTCAGGTACTGTACACAGGTAGGGCAAGGTCTAGGGATCGAGCCCTGGATCTGCATCTGCTACTGCAAAAGGTGAAAACCGTTTCAACAGGTCCAAAACTGAAATTAGGGTTTGGGGGTGAAATTTCATGTTTTTTTTTTTTTTTGTTTCTTTTTTTTGCCTGTTTTTGTCTTAGTTCAAGGTTGTTGTGTACCAAATTTGGTCTCATTTGGAGCATTGGAATTATTGGAATTTCCTCTGATAAGAGCATTTCCAAAAATGCTGACAATTCGGAAAATTCGCTGAATCCAAAATGTCATTCAAGTGCACTTTTGCCTTACTGTTTCACCCTGTTTTTATCTTTTTTTCCGTTTTTTTTTAATGGTTTGTTAACATGGTATGCACTCTATGGAATGATACAATTTTTGGTTAAAAAGGCCTTCTGGTTTTCTTATAAATAGCATTAAAAAAATGCTGAAATTTTGAGTCTCCGTTAACCGCCTCTCAATCCACTCGCACACGATGTGCCGTCAGTTTTCAATACTTGATTCCTTGTTTACCGGTGTGCACCCTTGACCTAAAACAGCACACAAGCAAAAAATTCAACCAGGTACAATTATCCAGCTGTGGCAACTGTACAGCTGCTCAACCTTGCTGCAAGCCCACAGCTGAACAGGGTTGACATAAATTAGTCTTTCCCTGGTGGTTGCTGAGAACAGTTAAGCAGTTGCCTAGACTTGTGGTCCGACCAGTACATAGACTCAGGGACTCAGGCTGACAAGGTTGGACGAAGGGGAGTCAATGCAGGACTGTGAAATGTCGCCCCTGCTGGACGATGAAACAGTTGAGTGTTTAACAGTGGACTTTTGTGACAGCAGTTGTTGTTGTGGCTATGTAAGTTGAAAGAGGATAGCTCCTAACATGACTATATCCGTTTGGATTTGATCAGGTTACATGCCCAGTTGGGCAATGTACATAAAAACCGAGGATCCGCAATGTGATAAAAAGGACTGAATGGACAATGCAGTGCAAGTGGAATCTCAACAAGCAATGTGCATTCTGATACATACAAAATGGTGCTTTATAGCGCAGGGAAGACTTAGATACAAGTCCTGACCTGACCGGGACTGACCTCTACTACGTAGTGCAAGACAGCGCAGCTGAATGCTAGGATACCAATGACTAGCCCAATCAATGTTGCAACGCAGACCAAACATACGTCATGCTCATCACAAGGTGTGAAGGGGGCCTGGCGCTATACACAGGAAGGAGGCGCCAGGTCCAGACATATACAGACGAAGAGGAGGGGATCAGACGAAGAAGAGGAAGGGGGAGATGGGAAAGCCGTCAACACCAAGTCTCATTACAAGTCCCAAATAATCCCTCTTCAAAATGTCTCAAGTCCAATGTCGAGCCTGGATCCAAATGTCACCAAGCTCT